CAGAAAAGATAGTCGTTTATTCATTTATTTCTCTATAGTTCTATATAGAATCATATCCACCAGAGCAAAACAAAGTAGCATACTTGAAGAGAAATTGAAAATGCTACAGAATGGTTTACGAAATCAGTTAGTAGGATAGTATTTTTACAATTTTTGGAACCGAATATAAGAGGCTGCTCAACCAAATATAGACAAACTATATATTTTTGGAGTCGGGAAATTGTGCTCTCCTCTTCAAGAATATAGAACCTAATTTAGGACAACCCATTTGAAAAAAGCTGAAAGCATCAAAATTTCACATTTCTGACATTCAATTCTTGTTTCTGACCATGGATTCTAAAAATTTTGCCAAAACTGTACAACTTTTGTATTTACACCTTTCTTTTACCTGTAAAGGTAAAGGCTGTAGGTGGGGTGTCAATACATAAAAAAATACCTTGTACCAGCTTAGCTGCTATGCCATGCTCTTGAAAAATTATATAAATTTCAAAATAATAAAGTATAAATTATATTTTACATTTAAGCCTTTCGTTATAACTATAAATATTCCAAATTGTACAGACTAGTTAAGTAATATAGGAACATGTCACTAAATAAGACCAATACAAAATTAAATCTCACGCTTTTTTATCTACGCCAGTGAGTTAAGAAGCTCTTAACTCACGCATTTCGAGTGAGTTAAAAACTTCTTAACTCACGCATTTTGAGTGAGTTAAGAGCTTCTTAACTCACGCATTTTCATTACCGCACTCTTTCTTAGGTTTTTGAAACTATAATGACATCAATATTATTTACTATCAAATTGATATGAAACCATGCATGGTGAACAGCGTTTTCATGGTAATTTGGTCAAGTTTATATTGTTATTTGAACAGAAGGTATTGAGGTGATTCAGGTAGCTGTTTTTTAGAATAGGTAATACAATTATTATTGAAATTAAATTTTGTCGTGTTTTTAAAGGTAGGAGCGTATGGCGTAGATAAAATATTATACAATACACGTGAGTTAACCCTCATTAAGATACTTGTGTGGTTACACAACTCGTGCTACGCACTCGCTGTGCAAATTCCACACGCGTATCTTAATGATGCTGTTAATTCACTTGTATCGTAAATATCTATTATGTACGACATACTTTGTAAGAGCTTATTACGTATCTCATTTTAGCCTGTTTGAGTTACGTAATAAGTTGCATTATCATGCTTAGTGATGTAATGAGAGCTCATTACGTAACTCATTTTTATTGAAAAACGGCACTTTTTAAAATTCATTTATCAAAAATTATAAATATAATCTTTTGTGGAAAATTAAAACCATTTCGAATACATGAAAAAAACCTGGGTCGTACATAACATGTTGTATATCACACGTGCGGTAACGCTCATTAAACCACTCGTGTGATTAGCACGACTCGGTCTACGACCTCGTCTTGGCAATATTCCCCACTCGTTACTGTAATGAAGCTCATACCGTACTAGTAATATAATAGATATTTATGTTATAAGGATCATAATGACGATCATTATGCCATAATGATTGTTTATGATCCGAATTTCATACAATATTTTATATTCCGGCGATTTAAGTCAATACATTGTTTTGTTACATTTGAGTTTATCGGGAATAATTGAAGAAGGCTAATCTTAGTAAGGTGCTTCACTGCTTGACAACTAGTAACAACGGAATTGTTTGTTTGTCTTGATTTCGACACCTATGTCCAAGATCAGTTTATCGAAGTGTAAAGATTTTGTAATTAATTTAAATTGTTAAAATTTGTTGTTTCCAATAGATGTTTCATATTTGTGCCTGCTATACCTATATATTTTTTTTCTCATTATAGTACTTAGTACTATAATGAAATCATTATAGTACTCAATCCAATAAAGTATATCATTTTGACACTTAAATGAAGTCTATAATATTGTCATTTTGACACGCCGGAATATAAATAACTATTATACTCTTTTATATCTTAAGCTTATTAGAATAATAAAGTAGGTAAGTTATAACAAAAAATGGGAATTTTGTGCTCTACAAAAAAGGTTTCTTGCAAATTTTTCGAAAAACTTGTTGATTTTAAGAAAATTGCAAAAAACTTAAAAAATGTATTTTTTTACTAGCCTATATGTCACGTTTCAAAGTTTATACAATAATAAAATCTAAAATCTATTTGGGCACGTACAAGAATAGGGTCGTTACCTCCTATTATTAAAATTATACTGACCATTATTTTTCGATATAGTGAGGCCTAAAACTTGGCCATGTCATATTGGTTTTATTGAAAATTTTTTACTGGATTATTTAAATTAATTTAAAATTTAAACATTTTTTGTCCTTGTCGAATTATTGGGCTCTCTCTCCCATGACGTCACTAGGCGGGCATGCGCAAAGCAGTTGTAAAAAAATCCATCAACATATGCAATTTTGTGAGGTTATGTTGTTTTTGTTATTATTTTGGAATGTCGTTGACCGTTGTTATATTTTCATTATTTTTGTTTTTCAACGGTTTTTCCGAGATTTCAAGAAAAATATTTAAAAGAAACGTGTAATAAATTCAAGGTAGGTAAGTCATTGTTTCTCATTATTTGATGTTATTAAGGTCTCAAATAGCGCATGCATTTCAGTTTCAGTGTACCCACCTAAGTCCTACCTACCATAGAGAAACATCTACCTACTGTTCACTATTTGGCTATGGATTTTCGTAAATGTTTTGTGCCTTCTTGTAAAAACAGTAATCTAAATTCGAAGAATCCTTATCTTTATAGCTGTCCCCAAAAATGAACAAAAAGAAAAAGTTGGTGTTTAGCTGTGGAAAGAGTTAATGTATTGTCTAGTATTTCTGGTGGAATTTATTGCTGCGAAGATCATTTCAAAGTAAGTAAACTAAGTTGACAAATTTCATTTTATAAAAACCTATTTTCTGTTTTAGATTATTTCAAAAATATGAACATTAGGTATATTATGTTTATAGATGGAACAAGATTGTGATAACTAGATGCAGTTTAGGATGACAAACTGCATATAACTTATGAAGAAAAAAGTGGTTCCACATATTAATTTAGGCAGAATCCGAGTTTGTGAAGAAGCTAAATAAAAGAATTGCCAGCTTACGAATCCATATTGAGAGAGTGATACAAAGATTGTGAGAATTTACAATACTAGAAGGACATTTCTGCATTGACTATCAGCTTGTGGCAAAAACTGATTATTTAATAATAATTGCTTGTGGAATAGTGAATTTGCAGGGACCATTAATCGAATAAATTTTATGTTGAAGCTAGAAAAAAATTCTTTTTAAAATATATTGTATAAAAAAAAATACCTATTACTTTTTTTACTGTCAAAATAGTACATTATACACCTAGAGACTAATGTGGTACTTTTAATCCCGAAGTGAAGGCCATAATTTGTTAAGGGATTAAAAACACTTTAGTCCTGAGGTGTATACACTATTTTATTCACTTTAGGGATTAAAAATTAGAAGCGAAAATTAACTCCACGGGAAATGAAGTAAAAAGTTAATCCCTTGGGAAATAAAGTGAAATTTTATCCTGGCGATTAAAAGGGTACTTTTAATGCATGTAAAGAAGAAAACTACCAGACTCCCAAATCAATCATATATTTTTATTCAAAATGACTGAAAATACATTTTTCTTCCAAAATTCTTCAGCTAATCCAATAATTACTTTAATAAACTTAATGTTTAAGTCTAATTCAAAAATTGTCACTTCATTATCCTCTCCAAATTTGGGACTTGCCACACGAAACAGTCCTTTTTGTCTGTTACACAATAACATTTGTAACTGAAGTTGGCACATGCATTTAGTCATTGTAGGTATTTCCATTTTCCTTAATGTAGTTTTTCACAGTCTCCTTCTCGCTAGGACATTAAACTTCAATCACAAATTCTTTGCTTATTCCATCTGGCGATGCTCCTAACAGAGGATATTCTGCTGTCTCTTTTCAACTGCACATTAATGCACATAGCCAATAGCATCATCACCATAACTGGCTCTCGCTGACCTAAAAATATATGAAACTATAAAACTGTTACCCTGCCACTAAAAATGTAATATAATAATGGGCCAAAGCTAAACCAATTCAATAATTATGCCAATATTTCCCTACCCACCTTTTGACTGTTCTCATTTCTGCACTTAAATAATCCGTATTTTTGGCAAAAAACTCTTGCAACATCACATAATTTAGTTTAAGTAAATTTTCGCTGGAGGCTTTAATAAATCCACTATCCATCTTCTTACATAAACCGAACAAATAAACGGGTGAAATAAGTATTTATTTTTAATTTTATAAATCAACCAGACTAAACAGGCGAATCAAAATTAGGCAATTCAATCCATCTGTTAAAAAGGAAAATTCAATGTGGCGTGGCGGCCAAGCAAGCTTGTTTTGAATATGTTTTTATGCGTATTTTAAATTATTTTGCATACAGTTTTGCTTACAACTTTGATTTTCATTATTTAATAAAATATTTGTAGACTAGGTACCTAAACTATTAATTCGGGCAGAAACTAGATATTTTGTTGTGTTTTTTGGCCCACGTGTGGCCGCCACGCCATCTTGAATGTCACGTGGTTTGAATTGCCTAATAAACAAAATAACTGATATAACCTCTAAAAGAAGACAGGAGATTGGCCAGTGCCAGGGCAGCCAACTAGACAACTAGGAAATTTTGTCAGTGATGCAAACTTAAATTTAGAAATACAGTGCGCAAGCTCGCCTTGTGACGTCATTCAATTTAAAAAATAACGAATAATAGTAAAATTTCAAATTGAAATATCTCGTTTAATATTATTCTCAGTTCGGTTTCAGATACGATAGTTTTCGGACCTGTGCTCTTACCGACCTTGGTTTTTATAGCGTTTGCAGCATTCCTTAAATATTTGGTATTTATTGAAGGATATTTTCTGTGAGTTGTATCTTTTCCTATTATTGTATTTTATTTGATAATTTAATTGCTCTCCGTTCATGTCTTAATCATGGCGGGGGGCAATAATCATAAAGAGGGTAAACCACCCCCCGATAAAAATAATATTAAAGTAGTAGATCTCACATACAATGATATGATGATAAATGAAGATGAGTCCATAGAAAATAATATTAATTCTCAAACTCAACATGATAAATAGATTTCAGATAGATTAAATAGAATTGATTTAAAAAATAGATATAAAACAAATAGTAACGGTCCATTTTCAGTTTTTGTGGAGCATAAATATTTAAATTTTGGTAGATTGCATCCTCTCAAAATTGGTGAAAAATTATTCAATCTGAATGGCGATGAAAATGATATTGATTTCTTGCACACAGTTGGTCGAAATAGGGTCCAGATTATGTGTAAATCCGCTATAGGTGCCAACAAAATAGTTGAAAATCAGGTATTTGAAAGTAACAATCTTATTGCATATATTCCATCTCATCTTACTCAAAAAAAAGGCCTTATCCGTAATGTTGATACATCTTTCTCAGAGGAAGAAATTTTGAAAATTTTGAAGTCGTCAGTTCCAATAAAGGCAGTACAGAGGAGATTTAAATTTGTTCTCGATAAGGATGGCAATAAAGTAAAAGTTCCTAGACAGCAGATTATTGTAACTTTCGATAATTTAGTCCTGCCACAATTTGTTTATATGTACCGATTGAGATACGAAGTTGATACTTGGTACTCCCCGGTCACTCAATGTTATAATTGTTTAAATTTTGGTCACACTGCTTCCCAATGTAAAAGCAAAAAACGATGCAAAACCTGTTCTAAAAAAATATTAAATGACGAGGGACTGTGTACTGATTGTGAGACTTTTTGTGTTCATTGTAAAGATAATTCTCATATTTCTACTAGTAAAAAATGTCCTAAATATAACAATCAGGTTAAAATTAAGCAGGCGATGGCAAATCTTAATGTATCCTTTAAAGAAGCCGAAAAAATTGTAGATAACCCATCTTATGCAAGCCTCGTTTCGAAAAATAAATTTGCTCCATTGTCTTCAAAAACCGATTTTCCTGAATTACCACCGAACTATAGAAATCAATCTAATCCCCCGAATTCAAAAACGACATTTGTAGCTCATCCACATTCCAGCAAGTATATTCCCTCTTCCAGTGTATATGAAAATTATAAAAAACGGAAAGTCAGTGATAGAAGTCCTTCTTTTGAACCCGTTAGCAGAGAATTTGATTGGTCCTATACAGGTGCACCTTGGATTGAGTCTCATCAGATAACCACTAAAAATACTTTTGAAGGTCTAAAGGATAAAATAATTGAAGATTTAACTTGTCAAATAAATAATTCAATCAGGGGTGAGAAATCTCCTAATGTATCAAATATAATAGAAAATATAGGCTATATAATCAATAATACCCTCAAAAATATCTTTCAACAATGGCAGCCTTCACACAATAACTAACTGTAATTCACTGGAATGCTAGATCTGCGTATTCAAACCATAATCTGTTAAAAAACTTATTACAAGATACTAATTTTGATATTGCCCTTTTAAGTGAAACTTGGTATAAACCAGAGTACAAAATTAGTCTTAAAGGTTTTAATATTATAAGAAAAGATAGAATTAATGGTAAAGGTGGTGTGGCTATACTAATCAAAAAATCAATGTCCTTTTCTAATATCAAATTCCCAAACTTCGATAATATCAATATTGAACTATGTTGTATAGACATATCTATCCATAATACGTTAATATCTGTTGTGTCTATTTATAGACCACCAAATGTGGCAATAAGTGTTTCGGACTACAGTAAAAATTTTTCTTCTGTAAAGTCCTTTTCTATAATTGGGGGTGATTTCAACGCCCACAATACTTTATGGGATTGTAATATTAATGATGCACCGGGGAACACAATAATAAATTCATTAGACAATTTTCCCAATTTATTAATAAGGAATGAAGGGGAGCATACCAGAATAGGAGCCACAAGTAGTTCCGCTTTAGACATAACTATTATTTCCTCAAACATCAGTAATATCTCGTCTTGGGAAGTTTTACAAGATTCCTATGGCTCAGATCATTTTCCTGTTAAATTGACATTGAATAATAAAAGTAATCTTGCGCTGTCACATAATTTAATTGGGTGGAAACTCAAAAATGCCAACTGGGTTTCCTTTGGTCAATGCATAGAGGACAAAATTAGTAACCTCAGGGAAGTACCGGATAAGGCAAATGAAATTATTTCAATATTAATCAATGTTATTTGTGAAACTGCCGACCAACTTTTTCCTAAAAGAGTTTTTCAAAATAAAAAACCCTTTGTACCATGGTGGGACGAGGAATGCCAAATTTTATCCAACAGTCGGAAAGAAATGTTTAAAAAATTTCGTAATAATTCTAATCTCCAAAACTACATTCAGTGTAATAATTTAACAGCTAAGTGTAAGCTTACCTATAAAAGAAAATCCAAACATAGTTGGGCTAATTTTTGTAGTAGTTTGAATGCACAGAGCCCTCCTTCCAAAATTTGGAATAGAGTTAACTTGATAAAGGATGGTTTAAATACACATATAAACAACACAATTTCCCAGGAATCAGCCAATATTTTGTTGAATAAAATAGCACCTGATTTTGTGTCACGCGATATTCCACCAATGAATGCGTCAAGCGGTCATTTTTTATCACGACCTATTTCTATATCAGAATTCATCAATAACGTCAGAAAACATAAAGACACTAGCCCAGGTACGGACGGAATCACTTATAGTATGGTAGAGCATTTACCCCTCCCTGCTATGAAGTTGTTAATAGACGCATTCAATAAAATTATGTGTAGAGGTGATGACATTTCGAAAATCAAAAATGCACTGGTGGTTCCAATATGCAAACCAGGTAAAACTGACGAGTTTAGGCCAATTTCGCTTACATCATGTATGTTAAAAACTCTGGAAAGAATAATCAAATATCGTTTAGAGTGGTGGTGCGAATCTAAAAAGTTACTTCCTTCCCATCAGTTCGGGTTTAGGCGAGGTAGCGGCGTAAATGATTGTCTGGCACATTTAGTTACTGATGTACAGAACACATTTTCTGATAATGTTTATTAGGCGGCTATATTTTTGGATATATCCAGTGCATATGAAAATGTCAATCTTGAAATCCTTATAGATAAACTAGTACAATTTGATGTGCCTAGAGCAAATGCTAATAATATAGTGAGATTATATATCAGTCGAGGCGTATCCATTAGAGTAGGTAATGATACTAGCGTAACCAGAATTGTCTCATCTGGCATCCCCCAAGGTTCAGTATTAAGCCCATTACTTTTTAATATGTACACAACGGATTTTCATTCAATGGGGTTAAATGCTTCTCAGTTACAATACGCTGATGATTTTTGTATTTATACCAAGCAAAAAAGCATGCATGCATGCTTAACCAACCTAAAACATATTATGTATGTTTGCAATCAATATTTTCCCAGCAATGGCTTGAATATTTCAAATAAAAAATCAGCAATGATGGTTTTTACTAGGCATCGTTTACAGAAAACATCAACAATTACACTAAACAACTGTGTTATCCCATGGGTTGAAACATTTAAGTATTTGGGAGTTTTATTGGATCAAAAATTGGCTTGGAAAGAACATATTAACTATATAACTGAGAAGGCCGAAAAAAGTCTTAATATTATGAGAGCAGTAATATCTAGGTCATGGGGATCCGATCCCCAAGTTTGCTTAATGTTATATAAAGCGTTTACAAGATCAATTTTGGATATTGGCGCTATGTTTTTGCTTGCAAATCCCGACTTGTTAAAGTCGATAGGCTGCAATACAAAGCTCTAAGACTTGTTACAGGTGCTTTTAGCTCTACCCCAATCCAGACTCTACTTTCTGAATGCAATGAAGTTCCATTAGAAATAAGACGAAAAATTCTAGCAGAAAAATTTATTCTTAAAAATGTTCAATACGTACATAACTCGTTGCTTAATAAAATTTCTATCTTGAATATTTCTAATCTAACTCAGTCATACTGGAGAAATAAGAAAAGTCCTGTTTTAGCGGATGCTTTTGTAAATACATCAGAATTTCATAACATTATAACAAAACAAGACAAATATATACTATTTCAATTTCCATCTGATTTGATATATCTCAAACTTGAAATTCTATTTCCGAATTTTTCAGAGTTGCCCTCAGTAAATTCTATCCTTTTAAGGGAAGTCTTAAGCAAGTATGAAAATTATCTTCAAATATATACCGATGGGGCTAAAAATAGTTCAGGAGTAGGATGTGCGATTGCTATACCTGAATTGAATTATGTTAAAAAATACAAATATGAAAATAATGCATCTATCTTTACTGCCGAAGCACTAGCAATATTAAAAGCATTAGATCATATATTGTCAAAGGGAAATATTTTCAAAGCTATTGTTCTCTCTGATTCTCAGTCAGTTTTGAAGTCTCTCAAAAATGCGGTGAATTGTAAGAATCTTGTTATAGCCAAAGTATTGGAGATCTTCTCTGTTTTGTGCTCTAAAAATATTTCTGTCAAGTTTGTATGGGTTAAGGGACATACAGGCCTCAAAGGCAACGAATTGGTTGACAATGCAGCAAGAGAGGCGATCGTATCAGAAGAGATCCTGGAAATTACTCCATATTCGGACTTTTTCGAAATAATCAAAAAAAGATCTTGGGAAGTTTGGCGCAGTAATTATATTGCAATGGCAGTTAACTCCCCTAATTTGTATAACTCCTTTTATCCTAGATTGAATAAAAAGCCATTAATAGAACGTTTTAAACTCTCCAGAAATGTGTTTGTTTCCTATTTCAGATTTTTAGTTGGGCATGGAAATTTTAATAAACACATGAATAAGCTTAAGTTATGCGAGAACACGCGATGCTTTTGTGATAACCAATCTGAAGATGACTTGAATCATAGATTATTTACTTGTAGACACAATGAATTGGCAACTTCATTTTTAAGAAGAGAATTGGAAAAACTCCATCTCATACCTATGAACCACAAGGGTTTAATTAAGCTTATTTTATCAGATGATAACTTAGAAAATATATTTATTAATTACTTAAAATTATGTAAAGTCCTTATTTGAAAGATAATTAGAGTTAGTTTCGTTTCCTATGTTTTTTTTTTCCTTATTATGTTACATCCTTTCTAACCGGGTCCACCTGTGTTTTGTTGAAGTTTAAAAATGTCCTGCATAGACCCCAGAAGCCCGATCCTCAAGCCAGGGAGAAGAGCTCCCCGATAGAACGAATGTTTTGTCTTTGTCAACGTAATCGAAAAGTAAATGAGAATGATAAAGACGCAAAATTTGTTCTCTCGAGGAGCTCTTCTCCCTGGCTCGAGGATCGGCCCGCTGGACGAGAAGCGTGTGTCCATGTGTTTATCCTTTGTGCTGGATTCCTTCTTTTTTTTTTATCTCTATTATCGTTGGGTGGGTTTAAGTAAATGTGAATGGTTAGCTGAAGTTTGAACTTTTGAATTATGTTTTCGTGGGTAAGTGAGCTATGCTCAAAGCCAAAAAAAAAAAAATAAAAATATTATTCTAAAAAATGCGGGAAAAAAACCAAGAATAGATTTTGATGGGCCTAATTCAATGAAAAAATAAAAAAAATCATGAAACGACCCTATTATTTGACATTATACAGGGTGTCCCAGAATATGTGGGCAATCTCTCGGATTCAGATAGAGCTCAAAAAAATAACATGACAACTTCCTATAAAAAAAAAATTCCTACGGCCCCCCCTACGAAGTTACGTGCCCCTAAAGGACGCCTCTGAAAATCCGTTTTTTGTTGATAACTTTCAAAATACTTAGTATAATTTTTTTTCTTTTAATATGATGGATACTAGGTTAGACCCCACTAAAATGTACCCTCTCAAACACACTTGACCAATTTAGTTCGCTAGGGACGGACTAGCTTTAGCGCAATAATGACACTGAGGAAATATTAGTAGAAAGGATTAATTTTCACTGTCGCGAAATAAGGGCTTATATTGAAGCATTGTCGAGAGTCGAACAATCTTTCATTAAAATAGGTATGGAATGCATAAGATTAGAAGGATCTCATGTTGAGTCGACATAAAACAATATTTAATAAAAAACCATTAATACACAAAAACAGATTTTTCTCGAAAACAGCTAATTTTTTTGACATCGAATAGGAGTACCTTTTTTCTAGTTCAAGGTTAAAACTATCTAAAAGTATTATTGCTATGCCTATATCATACAGGGTGTAAAAAAAATTAGCATTAATGTGTTAAAGCTAGTCCGTCCCTGGCAAACTAGATTCGTCATGTGTGTTTGAAAGGGTCCATTCCAAGGGGTCTC